GATACTAATGTGCTTGCTACAAAGCTGAATGTAAATATGTGAAGTCAAATCAAAGGAAAAACATTATTTTTCAAAAAAAGAAATAAAAAGTCTTCCCAACATCACATTATTTCACCACCTTCCAGAAATTTACTATATAGTGGGGACATAAAATTAAACAATGTAGATATGGTTCCTCCCTTCATAAAGCTTACACACAATGGAGGAGACAGAAAACTTAAAAAAGCAATTTTAATACATTATGTGTTATTGTATTAGAAATTCCCTGATCCCCATAGACTGGCAATAATTACAACTATTACCAAAATATGTGGCAGTAAAATAAAGCAATTATCAAAACTAACGTAAATAGGACTAAGTTCCTAGGAAATTCTTCAGAAGATTAAATACGAAAAATGGGGCTCATTCTATGATTAGATTCAGTTTTTTCATTTCATTGATATGCTTTATATATATTTTAAAGCAGTAAGATCAGTGAACCTTCCCTCCGGAGTCCTGGCTAAGCTCTATTTGCACATATCATCAGAGAGGCAATGCTGTCATACAGATGGCCCCCTGGACTGGGCAGCTTGATAAAAGTGCCTTTGTGTTCCTAATTAACAAGTGAACAACTGTGCCAATTGCTTTGATACATTTGAAACCTTCTGTTCTCACACTTTTGATGAGGTGTTTATTCAGCAGCAATACCTGCTTGCTTTATTGGCCCCAGCATACCACTCCTAAAGGGCAGCACTGTAGTGATATTGACAAGGATTCCTTTGTACCATGAAAGATGAGGAAGCATTAGCCATTTTCAGGTAGCCCACTTTAGATCTCACTGATGGAAAGACAAAGATTGAAGTAGATCCAACTCAAGATTTTTACATAGAAAGGAAGTGCTAAAATGATGAAAAATCTTGAAGCATTAAGAAAGAAGAACAATAGTACAAACAAAAATATTCATAAAATAATAAGCTAATAGTGATAAATTACAGTTTGAATCTTAGAATAATGGCATTATTTTTAAAGCATAAAGTAGTCCAAATTTAGAGAATGAGATGGTGTCAGAACTCAAAATGCCTCTTTGCAGATCCTATAAGAAATATCCTAACTGCTATGTTGTCTTGAGCTTCTGTTGTCTTATTATTAGACAGAAAGGATACAGAATTATAGTTAAGAGTTTGGGCTCTAGAAAAAAAGAAAAAGAAATATCCTGATGTTTTCAGAATAGAAAGTACGTATTTTCATATAATTGAATCACCAAAAGAGAAATCATTGGATTTCTTATTTTTAGGAAGGACTAAATAAGCCAGAGCTTAACCAGCAGAAGAGTCCACTGAAATTGCCAAGCATTAACCATTAATTGAGAGATTGGTAAGAAAGATGTGTAGACAACACAATGTGCAGAATGGGTAGGGAAATGAAAAAAAGAAGTCAACAAAAATTGGCTCAAGAATCACATAATAATAATGATAATGATATTTGTATTTTTCATTTTTATGCTCCAGAAATTTTGAAGTTATTGTCTTTATTTCCCAAAAGAGTATTCCAATCCTGGCTTCTCAGACCCTCTTCCACTTTCTGTTGGGTATCACAGGAGGGCTCTTCTATTATGTGGCCTTGGGCTTAGTTCAATCAGTGGGAAGCACTGATGGGAGTTTATGGGACAAGGGAGAGAAACTAAGGTAATCCTTCTTTCCTTTTGCCTAGGGTGCTTTCTCCAGTAGTTACAGTTGCCTCTGTATCTCATCATGGTTGTGGCTAACTCGGTGTAGCTTTTCATGCTAGCAGCTTAGTTTAGATGACCTTGGACACTGGGCTTTCTCTTTTTATTGCCCTTGAGCCTAAGGTAGTAGTGGTTTCCTAGTGTTGTTACTCTCTGTGTTACCACCTTGTCCCCTGTTTGAGTCTCATATGCTCTTTCATTTATAAAACTAATTCTCTGAATTAAATGCATTATGTTGTAGACACTCAGATTGATTTTTGTTTTCCTGGGTAGATCATGACAATTATACCCTAAAAATTATGAACCGGAGCTGAATGAATTTCTAGAGTTCATCTAGTTCAATTTAATTCTATTTGTACAACACATAATTATTTTTGTGGTTGTTCTTTTGACATACATTCAAATAAAAGCTAAAATGAGCAAGCATATTTTTTAAAGCAAGAAAAAGTAAAAAAAAAAAAAAATGACCTACTATTTGCTTAAGCTTGGATAAATGTGGCTTTCAAAGCCCAAATCCAAATGCCTTGACTGAATGAACTCATTCTGTGCCAGGGCTCAGGAATTCTCATGCCTTGAATGCCCACATCAGATGACCTCTAAGGAGTTGTTTTGATCACTCTGAGACTACCTCTTACCTACATCTCAGATTATGTGACTTCAGTAAAGATAATAGAGATCACTTGTTATTATGAATGAACTGACAAAATATATCTTTTAATGGAAGTAATTTTTTGAATTAATAAAATTAATTTATTGAATGCATGATTTAAATTTCAGAGTTTTAAAATATTCCTAATTAAGCTACTTTGAGAACTATGAACAAAATAAATTAAACACGTACAAAGAGAACTTGGGAGCACAAACTGACATAAGCCAAACTATGTAACCTGGATAGTCCACATTGTATTGGCACAGAGAACTGATAAAAGTAGCACTAAGGCTACTAACATAAGATTAACATGACTGAGTTATTCATAAGCATAGGTTTGTGAAATGCTCTTGGTGAATGAAATACATTTAGAAAAATAAGAAAAATAGCAATAAACTACAATCTTTTTAAAGATACCGTGTTTCCCTGAAAATAAGACCTACCCATAAAATAAGCCCTAGCTGGATTTCTAAGTATTTGCGCAATACAAGCCCTACCCTGAAAATAAGACCTAGTGATGGGTGTGGCTACACAGCATATCTGTACAACCCATGCATTTCATCACAGAGTGGTAAATAAGAAGAGCAGCCCTACTCATCTGCCCCATCGTGACAGCTACTATCCCAGAGGTGACCAGAAAGGTGCGGGCAGCCCCACCAACAAGGTTGGCTCCCCCTGTCAGGTCCCGGCCATCCTGTGCATGCTGCAAGCTGAAGCTTAGAGGGGAAAATAACACATCCCTTGAAAATAAGCCCTAGGGTGTCTTCTTGAGGAAAAATAAATATAAGACTCTGCCTTATTTTCGGGGAAACACAGTAGCATTTTAATGCTAGAATAACCAAGATAATTCTGGTACATCACATCCAACAGGATAGCTTTTGATTATCTTTATAAAGCTATCCACCTCTGTATTCCCGACTTTTGGGATATGAAGGGGGAAAAAAAAGAAAAGAAAATAACAGGCAACTATAAGAGAAGAACAAGAATAATTCCACTGGTAAATTCTTCAGTGTGTTCTCCTTTCCCTCTGCTCACATATTCTTAGGGACTTCTAGCTAGCCTGACTACCCTTCTAGCTAACCTAACTACCCTTCATTGCTAGCCTAACTACCCTTCTTTGCTAGTTCTCCTTCCCTTTCTCCTGAGTTACGAACACTCGTTCCCTTTTGTTAGCGTTTAACTGACTCCTCATCTTGAAAAACCCAAACCCTTTCCTTGAACTCCCATTCCCATGCAGCTACTGGCTACTGTCCTAGTTCTGTTCTTCCTGTCACTGTCAAATTTTACTGAAAACATTCCTGTCAAATTTTACTGAAAACATTTGTTTCAATTGTTGCCCTCATCTCTTCAACTTCTATTCACTCTGTAATTGGCTGCAGACTAGGCTCCTTTTCTGTCACTTTAATTAAGCTGTATGTGGAAGGTTATAATCATTTATTTATTACTAAATTCATTGAAAATTTGTGTCCTTACCTTACTTAACCTTTGGAAGCATTTAGTATTGTTGACTCATCTCTAACTCCTGAAATGCTTTGCCTTTTCATACATGATAAGATATTCTGCTCTTCCTCTCTCTCCCTCTCTCTCTTTCTATCTTTGGTCATTTCTTCTTAGACTTCTTTGATTGATCTTTTACCTCTATGCTGTAATTCCTGATATTACTCTAGGGTCAGTACACGATTTTTTTCTACTTCTCTTTCTGATTTACTTACCCAGTTATTATCTGCTGGCTGCCAAAGTTGTTTTTCTACAAACTAATTCATTTTCTACATGACCCTTCTTCTAAATGAAACATCTTGCCTCCTGTGTTCCTTATCTTCTACCACTTTATGTTACTTATAAAAATTACATAGCTTCCACTACTCAAACCAGAAACCTGTATATAATATTTTACTCCAGTTTCCTGTTCTCTCTTCAGTTACCCAATCCCCTTGTTTCACTTTTGATATTCTGGAAACAAAATTATTTCCCCATTCTCTCCAATCCAATCACCCTAGTTCAAGGCACCCTTACTTTTTACCTGGCTTACAGCAAAAATCTCTTCATTGAGTTGCCTTTAACCAGCTTTGCCCTCCATTTGTCTGTTGATTTGTTCTCTCTAAACATAAACATGATCATGTCACTTCTTTTCATTAATCCCTCAAGATGAGTTTTAAATATATTTAACATGTCATTCACTACTTTTTTATTTTATTCATTATCCTTTGCATATCTTTACATTTTTTTCATCATTGCTCCCTATTCTTACATTATGAAATTCATTTACGTCCTTAATATATTATGGTTAGTTTCACTCTTACATATTATGATACATTATTCTCTCTGCTTAGAACAACTCTTTCTCCCCACCAGGTGCCCTCTGCCCTTTTTCCTACTTAATCTGTCAGCTTTTAGCTTTGAAGTTGCATCTTCTATGACTTTTTTCTGTCTATAATTTTCTTTGGACATTTATGGCACCCTACACTATCTGCTTTACCGATTTAAGCCCTTATCACTCTGTATAGAAAATATCTTATTAATTTATATGTATCACTATACCAATCCCCATCTATTTGCAGCTCTTTGAATATGGAAATTGCTTATATTATTTAATATTGTATCCCATTCCTTACAGGACACCTGGTAAATTTGCAATAATTTTTTCAGGGATAAATCAAAGATGACAATTCTAGAATTTTAAGAAGAAGAAGGAAATTTGCTACCTGATTACAGGATGATGACTTAAAGCCAACTAAAAAACATCTGCATCATCTTGTGGGTAAATATATCCAAGGAAGCTCCAAATTCCTTATTATAATGCCATGGAGGTAGCAAAAGGTGACAACTATTAGTAACCGTAGGTTGCTTTTCCTTTTTCCTGGTTTACTTGAGTACCCTTCTTGGTAATCATGGGTCCTCCTCATTAAAGACAAGTGGGATAAAAGTGAGACACAAAGGCTGCGAGAAGTCCACACAACAAATATTTACGTTTTATATTGCCTTCAATAAAATCACAAAAAATTTCCATATGACCCTAATATAGTAATTAGTATAATTAACAAAATATACTTAATCATCAATAATTAAATATGGTTAATAATATAATCAATTAATGTATTTGCTGAAAATATACTTAATAATGCAATTACGTATTTTAATGATACTCAGTGTAAATGCTGTGCCCATTATAAATGACAAGTTTTATATGGAATGTCATTTACTTGTTCCACAAAGCACTATAGAGATTAGGAAATTGATGTAAATGCTGCTTCTCCATTTTATAGGTGAGAGACTGAAACCCAGAAAAAGTAGGCTATCTGAAAAAATTAAACTTTTCTACTATAATATAAGTTATATCTACTATAATATAAGTTAAAATGATTAAATTAATATATTTTAAAGATGAGATTATCTAGGTATCTGAGGGTTGACGTTAAATTTGATGTTAGGCTAATGAGACATAAAGGAGATTTTTTATAATACATTTTAAGAACACAGAAAACCACAGAAAATAATATAGAAAGAGCACTGAAAAAAATTGTTAAAAACCTGGCTTCTTAATAAAGTAACTTGAGTATTTAAGGAACAACAACAACAACAAAAGCCATTTAATTCATTCACTTGTCTAAACCTTGAAACTTTCTTATAAATCAAAGAAATAGAGTTTATGCTTGAAGACCTCCAAATGTAGGGGATTTACTTTCTTAATCTCAGAAAAGATTTTATCTTTTTAAAAAATTTATAATGAACTACTGTTTGATTCTTTTAAGCATGTATCTATTACTGACAATCATTTGAATTGGTGTTAAAATACAGACTGCTCTAAGAAGACTGTCTCTTCGATTAAGCTCTTCATCCTCCACCCATGTATTCTCTTCACGCCAGTAATTTTCAGTTTGCAGAATGGAGAGTTCAGACTTCACTCCTCATCTAGGGGAATCATGGCCACCAACCTACCAGGCAGGGAGGATGTTGATGGTACCAAGTATCAGAGAGGGAGAATGTTGATAGCAAAATCATTATCTGACTAGAGTCTCTTCCAAACTTTCCCTGAGCCAGGGAACTCATTAGCAGGTAGCATCTCTTTCTGTTACTGTGAGAAGAGTTCTGTCATGGCATGGGTCTGCAGATACTCACAGGCTTTATCCAAAGGCAGGCTTCTAATGTACTTGGTGACTGGAGAGATTGCATAGTATCCAGTGAGATTAGCAAACAGCGTCTCCCATTTTGACCATGAGGTTGTGGCTCTGACTGCAGTTGTAACCTGAGTGGGCTAAACCTAAGAATGTGTTAACAGATTAGGATTTCTATGCTAATGTCTAATCCATGCACTTCCAGATGTCTGCATTTAGCAGCCCTTACCCTGTGCCACCTTCTAGGTCCTCAGCCCATATAAGGGATGAAGTTACTTAGGCCTTCATTAACTCATGGAGCACGACCCTCAAACACATGACCTCTTCTCTATCATCTTCTGAGTCTTGGCCTCTCCTCTTTTTAGAAACTCACACACCAAAGGGTTGATTGCATGAGACTCCCATCATTCTTCTATTAAATTAAAGCTATATATTCACTCTCAAATCCAAACAGTCACCTTTTGTGAAGTTAAACAGTTATTTAATTTTTCCTTTGTGTCAGTTTTATAATCTATAAAATAGAAATAATAGCAGTAACTATTTCAGAGTTACTGTAAGATTAAATGTGACTACTGTAGAAGTCATTTTTATCAAAAATAAAAAATTAAAAAAAAACACCTGCACTTGAATGTTTATCGTAGCACAATTCACAATTGCAAAGATGTGAAATCAACCCAAGTACCTTACCTGTCCATTCATGAGTGGATTAACAAAATGTGGTGTGTATGCCTTTCTCCTGTCTTTTAGTGGTTGCCAGTAATTCTTGGTGTTCCTTTGCTTGTAAATGTATCACTCTATTTTGTTGCTATTTTCATATAGACTCCTTTCTGTCTGTGTGTCTTCATGTGTGTGGCCTTTTTATAAGAATATCACTCATCAGATTTGGGGCCCGCAGTAGTCCAGTATAACTTTACCTTAACTAGTTATATCTACAAAGGCCTTATTTTCAAATAAGGTCACATTCTGATGTTTCATGTGAGCATAAAGTTTGGAAGGATACTGATTTGTGAAGGACATGGTGTTACTTCCTTTGGTCAATAAAATGTGAGCAGATGTGTCCTGTGTGATTCTGGCTTGTTTAAAAAGCTAACACTTTGTTTACCATGCTATCTTATTTTTGTCTGTCTCTGCTAATTTGTTAAAATTGAATCTCCATCATCCTGGAAAATAGCCCATGTAGTAATACATGATATAACACATTTCATGAACAAGGAGATTTATACATTATTGTTTTAAGACACTGATTTGGAGGCTGTTCTTTTCCACAGACTAAGTAGGCCTCTAATGACTCATACAAAAATTAGTACTAGATCAGGTGTACTTCCTTAATAGACAACAGAAAATATGTGGCACTGGCTTTGAGACCAGGTATTTAATGACAAGAACATTTTTATTGGAAGCTAGAAGGATTATAATACATGTATACAGTGATTGGAATATTTAGAAAAAACTGTTACCTGTTATAGCTCAGAAGGAAGGTATTATTCCTAATAAGCTTTACTTTTAAATAAACAGGTGAAAAATAATGTTAACATCTATTGTTTTGGGGCTTTTTAATAAACACCATTCTAACTGGGGAAACATGATTTGCATTTTCCTGATGATTATTTGATGTTGAGCATCTTTTCATATGTCTATTGGCCATTTGTCTATATTCTTTTGAAAAGCTTCTGTTATATGGTTGTTTGTTTTTTTCTTACTTATTTGCTTGAGATCTTTGTAGATTCTGGTTATTAGCTCTTTATTAGATGTATAGCACTAAAATATTTTCTCCAATTTTGTAGGTCATCTATTTGCTCTAAGTATTGTTTCCTTGGCTGTACAGAAGCATCTTAATTGAATCAAGTCCAATTTATTTATTTTTGTTGTTGTTTTATGATTGCCATTGGGGTCTTCTTTATAAATTCTTTACCTAAGCCAATATCTAGAAGAATTCTCCAACATTTTCTTCTAGAATTCTTATGCTTTCATGCCTTACATTTAAGTTTTTTATTCACTTTGAATTATTTTTTGTGAGTGGAGAGAGATATGATTCCTGTTTTATTCTTGTGCATGTAGCTATCTAATTCCCAAGCCCTATTTATTGAATAGGGCTTTTTCTCCCAAGTGTATATTGCTGTCTGCTTTGTTAAAGATCAATTTGGTCTATGTGGATGGTTTTATATTTAGGTTTACTGTTCTATACCATTGGCCTATGTCTCTTCTTTGTGTGTGCTTATACCATGCTGTTTTGGTTATTATAGCCATGTAGTATAGGTTGAAGTCTGGTAATGTGATACCTCTAGATTTTTTATTTTTGCTTAAGATTGCTTTAGATATCTGGGCTCTTTTCTAGTTCCAAACAAAGCATAGAATTATTTTTTCTAGATCTGTGAAATATGTTGTTGATATTTTTACGAGTATTGCATTGACTCTGTAAATCACTTTGGGTATATGGACTTTTTAACTATGTTGATTCTACTGATCCATTAGCATGATATGTTTTTCCACTTGTTTGTTTCATCTGCAATTTCTTTCCTCAATGTTTCATAGTTCTCTTTGTAGATATCTTTCATCTCCTTGAATAAGTATATTCCTAGGTATTTTGTTTTCCTTATGGCTATTGTGAATGGTATTGAGTCTTTGATTTGATTCTTAGCTTGATTGTTATTTGTGTATAGCAATACTACTTATTTGTGTACATTGATTTTGTACACTGAGACTTTGCTGAATTTATTTATCAATTCCAGGAGTCTCTTGGTAGAGTCTTTGTGGCTTTCTAGATATAAGTCATAACTAATGGATATGGTGAACGTTGTAGGGGGGAAAAGACATACCCCAAATGGGTGTAGCAAAGTCATAACATGTTTCTAAAATGTTTGTACCCCCATAATATCCTGAAATTATTTTTTTGATGTGCTTGCTGTTGAATTTTGTGGGTTATTATTTTACTGAGGATTTTAGCATGTATATTCATAAGGGATATTGGTCTATAGTTTTCTTTGATATGCATGCAGAGATAAAGGAATGCTTCTACCCTGTTAGCAGGACTGGAAATTAGTAAAACCTTTATGGAAAACAGCATGGGGATTCCTCAAAGAACTAAAAGTAGATCAACCATTTAATCCAGCAATCCCACTACTGGGTATTTACCCAAAGGAAATGGTGTCATTTTATCAAAAGATACTTGCACTCATGTATTTATTGCAGCACAATTCATAATTGCAAATATATGGAATCAACCCAAGTGCCATCAATTCATGAGTGGATTAACAAATGTGGTTTATGTATACTATGGAATGCTACTCAGCCATGAAGAAGAATGAATGAAGGCCTTTGCAAAAATGTGGATGGAATTGGAGACCATTCTCCTAAGTGAGGTATTTAAAGAATGGAAAAATAAACACCACATGCACTTACTATTAAATTGGAACTAAACAATGAGCACACATGTGCACAGAGGGAAGTAAAACTCAGTATAAATCTAGCAGGGGGGAAGGGAGAGGAGGGAATGGGTTAAAACCTACCTAATGGGTTTGATGAATGGTATCTTGGTGATGTGCACACTTCCAACCTTGACGCAAGTATAACAGAAGTGATCCATGTAATCAAAAACATTTGTAATCCCATAATGTTTTGAAATAATAATAATAATAAAAAGAAATTT